TATTAGACATCTTTGAGTTGGAGTTATTTTACCATTTAGTTTCAAATGCTAAAAGGAAACCACAATAAGATTTTATAAGAGATTAGAAAGGATTTGGATTTGATAAGTGGATTCAATATTGGATTTGAATTCGATAAAATGCTATCGAACCCTGTTCCTACTGGCCACACTGTGTGTTGATGCTGTCATTGTGACCTTATGACACCTTACAGTACCACCTGACTGACCGCTGCCACCTCCCTCTGATTTCACTTTGTCACTGTGAAACCAAACTAACAGCTCTGTAAGCGAGGAGAAAACTGACATGGGATTGACAAGACAATTGATCTGGGAGGAGTCGCGACAGCCCCTGGTGGCCTAGGCAAGCTCAGTCCGGCCGCCCCATGAGCTCCGCTGCTGCCGCCGGGCTGTCAGTCTGTTGTGTTGTTAAACAACTGCAGTCAATCCATCCCGCCGTCTGACTGCGTGTATGGAAACAGACTCCATACAGCATCACCGCTCGCCTTTTGTCACTCTGACTGCCTTTCACTCTCTGCGCTGCATTCTGCAGCTGCTTCACACAGCGGACAGCACAGAATAACGCTCTGGAAACAGAAAGTCTCTGCTCTCCGCTCACCATTGTGCAGCTGAAGGTTAAGAAGTGGCAGTGGTGTCTGCAGCGGCAGGACTGCCCGCTCCGCAACGCCGGGATTCACACAACAATGCGCTTTTCACATTGACCTCTGGCTGGAAAATAGGCTTAATGTTCGCACAGCAGCAGAGCGACCGACTGTGTTTACGTTACACACACACACACACACACACACACACGGACTCCTCCACCGTGGTCTGTAAAGTCACAAAAGCCACCACAGTTTGATGTGCAGTGTGACCATGCAAGCTGACACACGACCTGTGAGCCATTCATGTGTGTGTGTGTGTGTGTGTGAGAGAGAGTGTGAGGCCAAAGACAAACACTTAAAGAAGTTGTGACTTTGCTGCAGGGCCTCATGGTTAATCTGGTTTGATGGACAGACAGACAGACAGACAGACAGACAGACAGACAGACAGGTGACCAGCAATAATATGTCAGACCAATGCCATGGTGACAGGACGACGATAGCGTGTGTATGTGACCTTTGACCTCCTCATTTATGGATGGCTTGTAACATCTCTGTTGGAGTCAGCATTGTTAGATGAACATAGAAATCCTGAAATGTAAAGTGTGTTTGTGTGAGTTAAATCCATACACACAGCACTCCAACATTTCCATTGTGTGTTAAGTGTCAGCCACGCACCGCCCACTACAGTGCACCTGGGAAACCAGCGTCTGGGAACTTGAGTCTCCAGCAACATCCAAAACTTTATTAAACAGGTCCAGTCAGGAGACTGAGGTACAAGTTGCCTGGATTCATGCAATTTCATTTCAATAGGAAACATGTTAAACATGATGAAATCTACCAAATGAACATTTACTTGGTGGCAGACAACAAGCAGTAAACACACCACTGATGTATTGTCATCTTAAAAAGTTGTTTTTAGGGGGTGAACATCACAGCACGAAGCTGCCTATTTACACCTATGTTAACTATTTATCAAGCAGAAACGTTTTGGTGCTGAGCAGGTAGTGTACAGTGGGTTTATCAACGCTTTATTTGCTCAAAACAGCTGTCTGCAGCAGCTGGAAACTTTCACACCAAAAAAATAAATAACACATTGAGCTGAAAGATGCGTTAAGGCTGAGAGCTAAGGGGGACTGCAGATTTGGGTGATAATTCTCTCTGGGTTTGCTAGTAGAAGTGACCCATTTACCATAACAGGTAGACATTTAATCCATTGTCAGCATAAAAATATTGACCAATGCAGCTTTATAGTATGACATAAATCTCATGTCTGACCTCAACCCCATCCAACACCTATGGAGTGAATTGGAACATCAACTGTGAGCCAGACCTTACCACCCAACATCATCTAATGTTCTTGTGTCTGAATGGGAGCAAATCGCTGCAGCCAGGTTCAGAAATCTGGTGCAATGTCTGAATGGTGCCCATGGTTCTGGAATCACATGTTCAGCTATATCATACATGTGTCATGTTCGAATGCCCAAATCTCTGCGGGGCGGTTTTCACTGAGAACTAAAGTGAATTGGACACACACGTTTGTGTAGACAGTCTTTTAGCTAATCTCTCTTGCAGACAACATGATTCAACCACTGACAGCAATTACTGAAACACGGCTGAATGTGTGTGTGTGTGTGTGTGTATGTGTGTGTGTGCGTAATCTGTCACTTTGTTCCAGTGGATTAGCAGATTAGCTCTACAGTCTGATATAACTGTGACTCACTTCATTAAACTGAGTGATGAACATGCTGACAGAAAACAAGGAAATCTGAGCAGCTCACACTGCATGTGGTTAACAACTAAGTAACCACTGGACATGACAAATGTATACCTCACATATACTAGGGTGACCAGACGTCTCCGTTTTCCAGGGACAGTCCCAGGTTTTGGTGGCCTGTCCCTGTCTGGTGCTGTCCCTGGAAATGTCCCTGTGTGTTAACTGTGTGTTAATCATAGACTGTATAAGGTGTTAACAGACCTGAAATCAGATTTTACGTAGCCAGAAAGACTGGACAGCAGAGGTGTCGTGCTGAAAAGTGATTTCCGTCTGTGGGAGCGAGCTCAGCATGTAACGTTATCCCCCAGTATCTTTACGTCTACAGCTGCTTTTACCAAACAGACAACGCGCAAATAAACTTTATGTCCACTTTAACGTATCTTTCAACGGAATAATCACAATTGTGGCCAAATAAGTGTTTGCAGCGTATCAGGCATGACATTTACGTGATTATAAGCAATAACAGAAACCTGTTGTTGCCGATGGATTATGTGTTTGGTAGGCATATGTCTAATATCCTTGTTTATATTTGGAAAACAGACTGTTTAATTAACATGACTTACTGCTGAGTTATATATAAAATAAAGACATGATCTCTTTTGCAATTATCCTTATGACTCTACACTATTTATCTTGCTATGTACCAACTAGTCCTTTATACCTGTTGAAATACCTTTAAATGGCCAAAACAACACATAACATGCAGTATTTCAATTGCCAGAAAGGGACTGCAGCCTCTACCTATTGACTGAAAGGTAGTTTCTGCCTCAGAATTACTTGATTTCATTTACAAGAGTTATATTTGACAGATTAAAACCGAAATTGCCCCCCTTTTTTAATAACATTATATTTTTTAATGACATACTGACCACCAAACCAAAAATGTCCCCGGATTTTATTTCAGAAATCTGGTCACCTTAATATAAACACTTAAATTTCTCGCCTGTGATGTCAATGAAAGCCATCCGTAGAGATAAAGTAGACGAAAGTGGGTCTGTTTTATGTTGCAGGATGCTCATTATGCGTGGCTAAAAATATATATATATATTCACATGTTTTGTTTCCAAATCACACAAGGTAGTGTACTTTATATAATAATAAATACCTGGAAGTGGGTATGACAAGGTGACCACCTGTTAGAGCGGCACACTAAAGAAAAAACAGCCCCACTTTTTCACTACTGTCCATGGGGAAAAATTGCTAAGTGGTCCAGACTGGCTAGATAGCCAAATGCTAACCAAAGCTGTTGGATGTGCAACAATGAGCCTATACAGGTTTTATTGAAAATGACAGATTTTTTTCACTTGCGGCTCTTAGAGGCACTAAGGCAGTACTTGAGCATGCTAAGATGCTGATGTTTAGCAAAATATTGATCATGATTTCCATCAGGGCTCTCAAGTCTCAAGCATTGACCGTGAGACACACACATTTCAGCCTGTTCACACGCCACACCTTGTTTTTCTCACGCTGAGAAGTAAGATAAGAGATAACGTCCTCGAAGTTGTCATGCTATATTCAATTAATGAACGATCATTTTTGTGCCGAGTTCATATCTTTCTCTTTAGCCTACTAAATGCCAGAGCCGTTAGGCCGATCAGAAATTAAAATGTGTTGTTTCCGGTTAAATTCCAAGCACGTTTGTTACCAGGCAACATGGATGCGTGTGCACACACGGAGTGGAAGTTGGAAGTGCAAGACAAAAATCTGATATGATTCAAAATTAAATCTTAGCTTTTAATTACAGTGTATTGATCTGGACACATTTATTTGAATTGTTTTTATATCAGATCATTAGAAGGTGTATATCTCTAAATACTTAACACTTAAATCTATCTATCAATCCATGTATCTATTTATCTGATGGAGAGGTGAATGCAAACAATGACAATTACTGCTAATAATGACAGTATGACAGTGTGTGTGTGTGTTCGCGTGTGTGTGCGTGCATTTATAATCATCTTACAGCATGACGCTCATAGAAGTACTGAGTCATGTTTCCAGTGTATCTCAGGTCTTACGGTATGTCACACAGACAAACTGTCAATGAGACTGACAGAGACTCCATAATGGGCCCTATGTGAGATATTGGTGGTTCATTTCATCTAAATCACAAAACAATACATATTCCAAGTCACCAAATACCAGCTCCTTCGTCAGATATTTTAGGTTTGATTTGTCAAAGTTTGCCATTTTACCTGGTTTATGGTCCTAAAACCAAAAGTAGCATTTACTGTCAAAAAGCTTTTGTCCAAAGAAACTTTCCAGAAACAATGACCTATTACTCTTAATGATCCACAAACATCACTGTCAGCAGCTTTCATTTCGAACAACTTTCATTCAAAAAGAAACAAGTGCACACAGGATATTATTCCCAACCTCTCTTCACACTAAATCATTTGGAAATCCTCCTTCTATTACATTTTGTAGTGAATTAATGTTCTGTTAAGCTATTGTAGGCCACCCTGGGCTAAAAAAGTGGTTTAACTCAAATTTTCAACAGACAATGGAAAATAAATACACTCACCTGTTTAAAATGGACAAGCTCAAAAATACAAAAAACTCACAATTTATTTTATTTGCGCTTGCATCTTCATGCCGCGTGGCCATCTGAATGTGTGTGTTACCTGCGAGTAGCTCCTTCAGGGTGTTGTACCAGGTGTTTGTGTGTTCTGCGGAGGCGTTGTGGAGGTGCAGTGTGTCCTCCTTCAGTCTGCTCCCTCTCCTCCTGCAGCAGAACAGAGCCACGCCGAGCACAGCTCCTCCCGACTGCTGGCCCGCGGCTCGCCGGCGCTTCACCTTCACCGCAAACACGTCCTGCAGTAGCACCACGCCTGGCTGTAGCACGCACGCCTCAGCTGCACAGAGATAGGAAGAGTTAACACACCTGGACACAACACACACCTGACTTTACTAATAATGTAATCTTTTAAGATTACTGCTCATTATTAGTGAAAGTGCAGACTTGTTTGAAAATTCTGCTTACTCCTTGTATAGGACAAATACATATTTTCACCTGATGATGGCGCAAGAGGAGAAGTCAGAGGATAATCAAAGTTATTACAATTCATCCTGAGCGGACCATGAATGCCTGTACCAAATTTCATGACGTGTATTTTCCAAAATGTTTGACTTTTTCTTTAATAACGCTGCTGTGTACAACAGAAAATATTCAGACCCATTCACTTTTTTTCAAATTTTGTTAAGTTGCTATATGGCCGCTGGGTTTAAACCAAAATAGAGTTTTGGTGATGGTGATGGCACGATGGAGCAGTGGATAAGACACATGCTTTTGGGTTCAATTACCTAGTGTAACACATCCACCAATGTGTCCCTGAGCAAGACACTTAACCCCGTTGCTCCAGTGGCTTGTGACCTCTTACACACTTAGCAACTGTAAGTCGCTTTGGATAAAAGCGTCAGCTAAGTGAATAAATGTAAATGTTCTAAACTTCTAGCGGGCCTATATGTCTGGCGCTGTTGTTCCAGAATGAGAATTTAGTAAATAATATCATCTGTTAACAGATACTGCAAAGAGGAGGCGTTCATATTATTTTTTCCACCCCCCTTTGTCAGTGAGTAAATTACGAAGGTAGCATACTGCTACTGGTTCATCTGTGTTCACATTACATAATATCATTAACTGTATTAATAATTAATCCACTGATCAGCAGAAAGTACAGTGGCACCTGTGAATCAGTCAGACTCATCGGGAAATAATTCTGAAATCTGATTGGTCCATGTCAGATTAATCATCCAATCCTCTGAGGATAATGTCAGCAGAGCTCAGACAGTACACTCAGAGTTACATAACAAACACACACACACACACACACACACACTTATTTTATCCATATTTTGCCATTAATCAAGCTAATACTAATAAACTAATAATGTAGTTAGCCTGTTGCTGATTGTCTCAGTGGTCAATGGCGGTACTGGAATAGAAAAATCCTTTGAAGCCTAAAAAGGATTTCCCCATAGACCGCCCTCATAAAAGAGCAACACCTGTAAACAACCCCATCTGCAAACATGGTCAATTATTACTCTTTTTAATATGACTTTTTAGTTTAGTCCTGACGATTCAATATTCATGTCAGAGTAGGAGGCTGGAGGCAGGACAAAAAAATTGCGCTTTATAGCACTAATAAGTGTGTTTGTGTGTAGGGCTGAAACAATTAATCGATCAATAGAAAATTAATCGTCAACTATTTTAATAGAGAGCTGAAGTGATGACGTCACATCCAGGCTAGCCTCTGTTCCTCTACCTTCTGTAACTCAGTGCAATCTCTCATCATTTCTTTCATCCATCTTCCTGAGAACATTAAGTGTGTTCCTGAGGTGTGAGGTGAAGACAAATCAGCTCCACTACAGCTTTTAGCATTAGGAAGAGAAACCTTCATGACTTTAACAAAGTTACACAACAATTATTTTGTCAGCACAGAAAAAAACTACAGCGCCCATAAAGCGTGGGTACCTATGCCATCGTAATTTGGTTTCGTCCATATTCATAAAACTCTCCAACAATTTTTTCAATGTTCTAGTTAATTTAATAATCTCTGCTATCGGAAAACTTCTACAGCGTTCAGTCCTCTCTGTTATTAAAGGCATGTCTAAGCTAACTTGGAGCCTGTTGACTCGCCTCTTCTGTAGAGCCGTGACATTTATACTGCAAACATCTAGGGCTTATATGAAATTGAGCTTGTTAAAGGCCGCTTAAAAACTTAAATATTGAACAAACAACAACATGAGAGAACATATGAAGCGAGCCACACAACATACGGTTGAGAAAGGCTCTGTTCCAAGGATGGATTTTTAGCTTTTAGCATTATTACACATTTGAATGAGATTTTGTCACTTCTGGAACAGAACCCGGTTTGACTTAAGCTCTCTATAATCCAACATATACTAAAATTCAAAATATTTGCTAAAGATACCAGATTAGATTCTGGTCACTTATGATGGACATTTCATCAATAAAACAAGAAAATAAAGGCAAGATTACTCTATAATGAAAATAATGTTCAGTTATAATTTGTTTCTGTATTTGACATGAAAGACGGCTTTTATTTTGAAGAACAAACTAGATTCATGAGGGAAAGAAGCACAGGACAGACATGTTTCACAGCAGGTGGACAAACATCTGTACATGAAAAAACAAACTCCTTAATGAGACGTATTAATCCACTTTAATCATCAGAAATACTTAAATCCATCCAGATTTCATTGTTATTATTTATCTGTCCTATCCAGATTTAAACCTCTATTGTTTTACAGCCCTGCTATAGACTGTATGCAGGATATCACTTTTTAATTAAAACTCTAATTCAAATCCATTCGAGAGAATTTCTTGTTAGAATTTGTTGGAACATTCTGAAATAGTGAAAGCCCTACTATACAGTATAAAATGTCTAACATATTTTATGTTTACTTGGTAAAAGTTATTTATGTCTACAAACCTTTAGTTGATACTTTAAGTGCTGACCTGTCCAGCATGTTTAATCTCATCTCTATGTCCCGCGATGAAGCCGGGCCATTACTAACTTACTTTTAATATTCTGAACTTCTTTCTGACCAGTCGATGAACAGCAATGGAGCACAATAATTTAAAGTATTATTATATAGCATTATTATGTTCATTTAATTTATTGTTCGCCTATTTTATTTGGATTATTGCTGCATTCATGTACTGATGTTGTCATTTTATATTGATGAACTGACTGTTGTTATTTAATAAGCGGTTAAGGAAATTGCTTGAACTTTGCACCCTCACAGCAGACATATAGTGAAAGACATATCAAACACACCACATACATAAGGTAGAAGACAGGGCAAAACATTTTTTATTTTCCCTATTACGGGGAAATAAAACGACAAAAAGAGACTTTACGCTGCTTCTCTGTCAACTGGAACTACACTAATACAATACAATACTAATAAATAATATCAGCAGTAAAAAAAACAGATCCATCAGGAATATTGTATATGATGATAGCTGATGAACCCCCACTCTCATCTATGAAATACCCTCCTGCTATTATCAAATACCAAATACCCAAAAGCACCCACCCCTATTCCACCCGGAGAGGCCAGCGTCCATATGTCAGGGTCACAATGTGTGGGCGGTGGTCTGTCTGATGCTGCTTCATGTTCTGCTCATTGTGTTCATTTAATATTATGAATATTAAAAGTTATATTCTGCTGAGCCACGTGAGAAATCAAATCTTCAGGTAAGGAATCCAGTGAAGGTTTTTTTTAAATGCAGGACAGACCACTTACACTGACAAGGATAAAGGTTCCTGTTGATGCTTGGAGCGTCACATAATGAATGTCCAACGAAACAGAATTAATTCAGATTAAATTTAATGATGATGTAAACACATCAGGAACTGCAGGAACGTACACAGTACAGTTTTTTAAGGTAGCTCTGAATGCTTACGTGTTGCTCAATAAAGCTGCTTTGTAAGTAAGCTATTGATGTGTGTTTGCGTGTGTTGAGCACAGATTCTTTTCAGTTTTTCTTTCTGTTATTTTCCCCAAACCCTGTCTTGTTTTCTTCTGGTCTCCAGTCGTTTATGATGTGGAGTCGAGTTTTTGGAAGAGTGAAAGGTATTTGCTCAAGAATACACATTTTTAACTCGAGCAAATGTGCCTCCATTTGCCAGTGCCAGCAAAAAATTAGAAACTGAATGTTTCGATAACTGTTCTTCGCTAATGATGATTAGCATTGGTGCTTGGCAAAACTCCGAGTCAGTCATCAGTGCACCAAATAAATGTTTCACATTCACACACAATTTCACTTGCACTAGTGCTACAATACCAGCTAAGGTTACAAGACACAGTACAATAAAGGACAAAGTTTATCATGATCACAATAAAGTAGATGAAATGAAATTGAAAAAGAGAGACAGACTTTCCATCCACCTCAATGAAGATGACTCTGATCTGAGTTGACAGGACCTGCAGAGTGGCTACATACACACATGCGTGATCGCGAAGAAACACACACACACAGTGTATTGCCCGTCACAGGTAGCGTGTTGGTTCCAGATGGAGACGAGTTTCCCATCATGCCCTCACCGACCCACTGTGCCAACACACACTGACACACATACAAATACAAGCACACACACAAATATACGGTATATTTGTAATGTTGGTATTATAATAACTGTGAGGACCTTGTACCAACTTCCACTCACTGCCTGGACCTTCGTCTAATTATTAACTCCAAAAACACTAAAAACATATAAATCCTAGATCCTAAAAATAATTGGTTAAGCTTGTAGGAACAGCCCCACAATACACACACACACACACACACACACACAGTGGCAGTCCAGTCTCATGGAAACCAGGCCATGTGGCTCACTGTGGGGAGGTATGGATCGTAGTTTACACACACACACACACACACACACACACACACACACACACACACACACAACACTTGTACTTCTATAGTTGTGAGGACCTTCATTGACACAATGTGTTCCCTAGACCCTTACCCTAACCTTAACCATCACAACTAATATGCCAAATATAAACCCTTACCCTAACCCTGACCTAAACCTAATTCTACCTTAAAACCAAGTTTTAATCTTCAAACAGTCCTTTGAAGGTGTGAGGACCGGCCTTTCCAAAAAGGTCCTCATTCTGTTGGTTAACATCTAGTTTTGGTCATCACTATGTAGAAAGTATACACACACACACACACACACACACACAGGCTGCAGCGCTGCATCACTTCACACTAATTGTAGATGGAGGTGATACAGTTCCAGTTATGAAGTTAGAGGAGCTGTGTTTTTCCCCCATTCTGTATATACATTTAAAATTTTAACTACAACCTCAAATT